CCCCAAAACCCCAAAACCCCAAAACCCCAAAACCCCAAAACCCCAAAATATTCACTGATAGTTGGGCTCAAAGAAATAATAATTATTTTCAGATTTTTACAATTAAAGATGAACTATGGTGGTTTTGATGAAGAGTTTGCTTATACTCCAGGAGAATTGAAGTAAGATAATAAATCAGTACAACTGCAAATTTATTAATTTAGTAAACTAAACATTCACTTTAAAACTCTCAAAATTATCAATATTTAGGAAGAAAAAGAACCCTCAACAGTTATGGCTGGGCCATAATTATGTTAACATTAATCCAGGTATCTGAATTAATTACTATTCTAGCAAACCAAGAAGAAGATGAAGGAATGATAGATGTTAGGAATTACTATGAATTTGAGACTCCCCTCCCTAACCCAAAAATTCGCAAGCATAAAGCTCAATTATATTCCTTCCAAAAGAAGCCTCCTTTAAACCATAATAACCATAAGTAAGAAGCAAGTGTGATTTCTGTGTCTGTTGCATCATGATGTCTATAGATAAGATTAAATCAATGGCACAAGAATACACTAACTCTATTGTAAGATTCAAGAAGCGATGTCGAAGGTCTTCAGTAATATTTATTCCTATAAAACAATAGAAAGTTAAATTCCCAGCTAAGCTGATTAGGTCCTACGAGAAAGTAAGATGATTTCTATTCACAAACTGTTTTAGAAAATTATATCAAAGTATTCGAGAAATCTGGGCACCACATTTTCAAAATCAAATTCAGATCTTGAAGCTTCCCTTGATTACTGCAGAAATAACTTATATACATATTTGGTTGAAGCAAATGAGCTTAATCAAGAGCAAATAGACAATGAGTCTTCAGAAGAATTTTTATCTAGAGACTCTCTTGGAGATCAACTCCATGAGGCTCAAGATTCTCATGAAGGCCAGAATCGCAATGATCTCAATGGTTATCTTGAGCATACCACACTAAAACCTCAAAATAGAAAGAAAGAGTCAAATCTAAGTCATGCTAGTGACAATCCTAAAAGTATGTAGCAGATATAATTGTAGATAATACACAAGGATATCACTTTAAAAACCAATACAGTCGAACAATTCCTGCGAAGAAAGCAAAAGTTATTAATTTGAGTAAATAACAAGAGTTCATCAAATAAGAGCCCCACCAATAAGGGAGCCAGCATATTGTCTAAATAACGTCGACCTTCAGAACTCTAAAATTGCGAAATAAAACAGAGAGTATTTTGGGCCTCTCATCTTTAGAATCTAGCACTATGATTAATCCAGATAATTCCACTTTACAAAAAAGCCATATTTCCGATGCTCAAAAGATCCTATCGACTGGGAAGAAGCTGATTACTGATCTGAAGGGAAACAATGTACGCACTAAGAGTTCAAATATAGAAATCGCTGAATGGTGAGAAACTGGAAATGATAAATAATAAATTTCAGCAACTATATGCAGCTTATAAGAACTCTAAGAAACAGCCTCAAAGCAATCATTCCTCAAAATCGAGAAAGTCCCAGAAGGTATACCAACCCCACTAGACCTCGGGAAAGAATGTAATCTGATCTATAGACCCGAACCAATGAATCTAAAATTCAGGACTCTAATAGTATGTATTTTATGATCGATTTGTGTGTTTTCTAGCAGTAATTTCACCGGAGTGTCACTTATAACTTTCTCTTAAATAAGGCCTCTCTCGAGTAGAAATGGGCATGACAAATAATAATCTTGACTTGTATTACAACATTTCTAATGAATATTGAATTTCTAGAAGCTTCCTTGACCCAAATGTGTAATTCTACGAATCATATTTTAGTGATTCATGAATTTTAGCTGTTAACTCAAGATACGAAAGATAACGTGTGTTGATTTGTGGAATAAACATTCATTTTTCTTTAAGTATATTACACAAATTAGGAAAAACTAGCATAAACTTATGTAGATGTGAGTAAGATAAAGAAAGGGCATATTCGAAGGTATTCTAAAAGGTAAGCTACTACTCTCTGCTATATAATTTCCAATCTCTCTCTTTCTTAACTTATTAAAAAATTGATAAATAGGCAATCAAGAGAAGCCATTCAGCTATTCTTGTTCAAAAAGAGAATGAATTTACAATCATCAAACAAAAGCACCAATTCAAATGGGAAGATCCTTGGTACTCTCTTGTATAATTTCTAGAGAGCTCCATGCTATCAGGATCCTCATTTGTTCAAACTAGTAGTACTCCAAATGTTGAACAACGAGAGGTATTGCCTTCTCATAACATTCTAGGATCAAACTGAATATTCTGAATATTCCACTTCTCAAATTCCTATAAGTGTATGGTAGATTAAATTCCTCCTTATCTATTTCTTTACCCATCTCTTATGTTCTTCTAAGCTAGGGTCGTTTTAAACATATGAAGAGGTTTTTCTTCCTGTAGAATCACCAGGCTTGAAATCTTTGCCAAAAATATCAATGGGGGCTGAAACTATTTAGAAAGTCCGAAGCACGCCAGTGGAAAGTTGGAGAAAGTCTCAGGCCCATAAAAAGAACACCCGCTTCATTCTCAGTGATAACCAAAATAGGATGGATATCTCTGAGAGTATGAACTCCCAAAGTCCTTCCAATAGAAGAGAAATGAACACTATTCAAGGTATTCACACTGCAGTCATCCTTTAGTTGATAGATTGAAGACCCGTGATGCTCAGCATGGTAATAGTTAGATTTTATATAGCAGCTTTTAAGATGAAACCACCTATAAGTAGCTCTTTCCAGGAGGATAAGATGAATACTGAGAAACACAAATTGTCTCTTTCAAGTAACTATATAGTCTTATTATAGGCTCTCTGTCAAAACCTTTTGAATATCATGAAAGGAACAGAAGGCCTAGCTCCAATGTTTCAAATAATCTTGTAGGAAATTCCTCATTTGTTCCTCTTCCAAAGCCGGTATTGTTTGCATCAATCTATTAGGGAGTTCTTCGTACAAAGTCAATCTTAAAAGTTCGGACCAGGTAAGATGTTATGTAACCCTTCATGTAGCGACAACTTGGATAAGTCAACCGGAGATCAGCACTCTTTCTGTATTTTCTTTAAACTAATCAGTAGCGAACAAGTACCAATTTAATAGCTTCCCAAATAGTAAAATTTTGTTATATCTTTAGAGAAATCAAGTGAGGGCAAAAAGAGCAGACAAGCTCCTCAATTTGGATTTAATTCAAAGTAAGTTTAACTTTCTTCTTGCTTTTGTATAATTATTCTCTTTGCTTCAAACCTTCTTTCTTAGCCTACAAAGAGCCAAGACCAAAATGAGGAGACTTGAGACCCAATCAAAAATTACTGAGGAGGAAGATGGAAGCTCCGAGGAATTTAGCATTTAAAATGAGTTACTACTATCTAAATTTTCACATTCTCAATTTGGTGTAATATCTCTGGGGTTTTGGGGTTTTGGGGTTTTGGGGTTTTGGGG